TTCTTCACTGTCTATCATACACTCAGTGGGAGGAGGTCCAAATTATCTCTCTGCAGCTCTATTTCCATGCTCTTTTGCATAGATGATTACATTCAGTTTGAATTTTGCAGAGTAAGACAATTGCTTACTGCTATTTATCTTTTTGTTTTTTGACATCTTTATGGGCTTGGAATGCTCTAGTCCCTGCTGCATCTGTGCACTCTCCACCTCCAATTACAGCATCAGCTGACGTCAATAACAATAAGGCTCATGATTGGAGAAAGCCAGTTTCACAAAGTATGAGCAGCTATGCACCAGCATAGCTCCCTCCTCGGCTGACTTCCATGTACAAGATGTCCCTGAATTTTCAGTCTAATGATTTTAGAAAAAAATAGCATCTTATACATGTGCAACAGTGACAGAGTTGAGTAGTTGCTTCAGAGACTGTAATTTGCAAAGCCTAAAATGTTTACCACCTGACCCTTTACAAAACAAGTTTGCCAACCCATGATCACAGTATAGTGTAGTATGACAAGCATATTAATATGTTGGGATGGGTTTTTTAACTGATTGAAAGGTTCTTGTTTTAGAATCTTTGCCACCGTTGTCTTAAAAGGAAAGAGGTCAAATCACAGAAGAAGCTAAACAAACTGTTGCCCCAGCGTTTTAGCAAGAAAAATAATCTTGTTTCAAATTATGTTGTATGATAAAAGAGTTTCACTTAGTGTGGATGAGATTCTCTTCAATTATTTCGTATGACTTAGTAAGAGAATCTTAAGAGTTTTCCAGTTAGCACATATCACAAAAACCTTTCCATCTTTTACCACTTGCTTATCCTCTTAAGAGTCAGCAAGTTTTCAAAATTCACATTACCTTTTGGAGCAAAATAATTCATCTTTCATCATCAGTTCATAAGAATAGGATAACCCAAAATTTATATGTATCTTAATATTATGCAAACTATTTAGGAATTCTGGATCCAAATCTCCAGAAAAATTTTGAGGATTTCTGTTGTTTGTGGATAGAAAATAAGTAAAAAAAAAAGTCATTACTTGTTCTATACTGAACTTGACAAAAGTATGTACTGAAGATAAAAATATAACTTAAGAGGAAGATTAATATTTAAATTATTTGAAGTTAGGCATTTTCAAACAATTTTCCCCTGTGGTTATGAATACCGGAAAAAGTTGGCTATTAGATAAACAGATACCGTGGGGAGAGTGGTTGGGGAAGAAGAGGTGTGCGAGTGTCTATCGCAGCTTTCCTCAATGGGGTTTCTGGGAGAGGTTAAGTCCTAATTCCCTGTGGCATTTAGAATGGTACTGATTATGTACCATACTTAGGAGAATGGAAAAAATCATCCAAGTCATATACTGTGTTCTATGCTTCAGAGGAGCCCAAGGAGCACATGGGAGTCAGTGTTTGTAATATAGGATGGGTGAGGTTGAGAAATGAGTTATGTAGACATCTTTGCAATTACTTTTTTCTATGCTCTTTTATCATTCAACTACGTAAACTATTTTATACAGAACACGTTCAAGTCATATCTTCCCAGTTACATTAGGAAGTTCAGTGAAGAGTAAGTTCAAGGATTTACAATTTAATGGGGGGACAAGGGTGGAGTGTGAAAAGCGCTAGAGCAAAACCATTTTATGATAACATCAAATTTTATTTGGTTTTCTTTGTTTCTAAAAGAATGTCATTGTTGATGCTTTAAATATTAAGATAATCTGAGTCCTCGCCTTGCTTAGTAAATTTCAGTACATGTTGAAGACTGGTATGCATATGCCAAATGCCTTGCAGTTTAACAGTATGCCCAAATTTTCTATTATAAAGAATAAGAAATTATGTCACTGGCCACTCATCTAAAGCCTTACTTTTTAGACTTCGGTTGACCTAACAGAGTAATTGCTGTAGGAGCTAAAAGAAGAGTGCTAGGGGGAAAGATGCTGAAGAAATGAAAATGGTGTTTATGCTTTTCTGAGCGTATTCTGTTCAGAGAAAAAGAGATTGCTATACATCTGTTCATTAGAGCACTAGTATTAGGCTTGAAATAATTTGATGGCAGGAGAGGGTTGTGTGATAATTCTACTTACTGATGTTTAAAGGATATTGTGTGAAGATTCAGCCTACTGTAATCATGTAAATTTTGCTGTTGCTTTTGGCTAAAATGCCCTTCTTGAAAATGCCATTTAAAAAAAACAAGGTGTATTTTTTTATAGTTGTTATGAATGTGTGTATTTAAATTTCTGAATTAAAATATAAGTTGATTTAAAGTAAAAAAAAATAAAAAGGTCTAATTTGCATTAAAATTGATTTGTTTCCAATCCAAAGTGAAATAATTAACTTAAGTAATAATTATCATTAAAACAAATTGATAACATGCACTATAAATAATTTCCTATCAGTAAATATAATGCTTACTAGAGGCCCGGTGAACAAAATTCATGCACAGGGGGCTGCGGGGGAGGGAGGTCCCTCAGCCCAGCCTGCACCCTCTCCAATCTGGGATCCCTCTCACAATCCAGGACTGCTGACTCCCAACCGCTCGCCTGCCTGCCTGCCTGCCTGATTGCCCCCTAACCACTCCCCTGCCAGCCTGATTGACGCCTAACCGCTCCCCTACTGGCCTGATCTCCCCAACTGCCCTCCCCTGCCAGCTATCTTGTGACAACATAGGGGCAGCCATCTTGTGATGACGTGGGAGTGGCCATCTTGTGACACAAGGGCACTGGGGTCAATTTGCATATTACCTCTTTATTATATAGGATTGCATTCCATGCCTCTGCCCAAGATTCTAATCACTTTGTTTGTTCTTTTTTCCTTAGGAGATAAAGTCTTAATGTTACCTCTTCCAGAGTGCAGAGAATGCTGTTTCTGTTTGCACCCCAAGGGCAACGTATGCGTGAAGGAAGAGTTAGTTTCAATTTCTCTGACTTCATTTCATCCAATTTGTTTTCATTGGGATAGGTATTGACTGGGAACTAAAATCGTGTATTTTTATGTCACACAGTGTTCTTTCTCCAACTGGATTAATGTTAGATGGAACCAGCAGGTTTACCTGCAAAGCACAGAAGATTCATCATCTTTTTGGCACTAGCACCTTCACTGAATATACTGTTGTGCATGAAATTGCAGTGGCAAAAATTGATGATGCTTCTCCAATGAATAAAGTCTGTATCATTAGCTGTGAGGTGCCTACGGGCTTTGGAGCCGTGTTTAACACTGCAAAGGTAAGAATGTACTTTTGTACTGTTTTCAGTGACTTTACCTACATCCTGGGAGCCATTCAATCAGAGAGCTTCTCCCATTAGAGATAAACCAAAGTGGCTTTTTTTCTAATAGAAATTTATCTTCTGGGTTTGTAGGTTACTCCTGGTTCCACCTGTGTTGTCTTTGGACTTGGAGGAATTGGTTCAGCCATAGTCATGGCATGCAAAGCCTCTGGTGCTTGTAGGATCATTGGGGTTGACATCAACGAGAAGAAATTTCCCAGGGCAAGAGCATTAGGAGTCACAGATTTTCTCAACCCTCGGAACCTCAAGAAGCCTGTTCAGCAGGTGGTAGTTGAAATGACAGGCTTCGGTGCTGACTTTGCCTTTGAGGCCATCGGACTCATTGATACCATGGTAAGTGGTTTGGGGGCACAGTGAGGGGAAGTTGCTTGCCCAGATGTGGGTACATATTAAATTAACTTTATGAAGACATGAAATTACTATAATTTTTAACTATTTTTGAGCACACCTTATGAGCCTTGCACCAAGATATTTATACACTTTATCCCCTTTAATCTTCATATCATTTTATGAATTAAGTACTAATCCCCATTTTCAAGATTTAAAAACGTAATTGTGATTAAGTTAAAGCAGCTTGCCTAAGATCTCAAGGGGGGGCTGGAGGGGGATACCACATTCTATTCTATTCTATTCTATTCTATTCTATTCTATTCTATTCTATTCTATTCTATTCTTTCTTTTTCTCTCATACAGTACCCCTGAAAATATGTTTTAGGATTGTGAGTCAAAAGAGGTATGATTTCAGGGTACTGAGATGCTAATCAGTCTACTGCTGAAATTAGGTTGCGGCTTTGGAGTCATGCCGTCGGAGCTATGGAGTCTGTGTGATTATGGGAGTAGCCCCCAACCGTGAACAACTCTCCTTTGATCCACAGTTGATTAACTCTGGGAGAACCCTGAAAGGCAGCTTTTTGGGAGGTAGGTCTTTGATGCCACATCACCTTTTCCAGAAACCTGGTCACCCTGCATTGTCCTTGGCAAGAAATGAAGGAATGAAAAGATAGGAAAAATATACCTCTATGAAAGGAAATAGGAGACATGTGGGAGAAAAAAAACAGATTAACATTTTGATATTATTAAGATATAGAATAATCACATTGCAGGGTACTCATTGGCACTCAGACATTCCATAATTGGTGGAGAGTCATTGTATGTCTCTGAGTGGCTCCCCAGCACAGGATTAGACTAGAAGAAAATCTCAGTGTATTGAACCCCAATTCTCACCATACAATCACCCTAATTTTTTATTCAAGAACAAAACAACTCTATTGTGGCATATTTGAATTTCTTTTTCCCAAACAACACCTCCAAACCCCTGTCTTGGCATGCTTTACACCCACAGATGCTTCCAGACTAGCACTGACCAAGAGAGTTTTCTGCAATGGTAAAAATGTCCTAGAGCTGGACTGTCCAATAAAAGAGGCACAAGCCATATATAGCTATTGAACATCTTATGTGTGGAAACCAGAAAATTGACTTTTCATTATATTTAATTTTAATGAGTTTACATTTAAATAGCCACATATGGCTAGTGGCTACTTTATTAGGTAGTACAGTTGCGATAGCTTGCTCTCTGACCTTTGCTAGCATGCTCAAATAAGATTAATTTGGCATAAACTTAAAAACAAGGGCGTTGCTGTCAGAATACTCACCAGACCTATTCCTTAGCAAGTTATTTAAGCTCATTAATTGCCAGTACTATTTTCTGGAATGTAGAGTAAATAATAGTTTTGTTCTTACATAATATAGAGATAATGAAATGAGAAGATACAGATAAAGCACTTGGCAAGAGAAACTGACACATAATAGGTACAAAATTAACATTAAATTGTAGCAGTAACAACAATGATTACAGTAGCTTATGAGGAGGAAGGCACATATATTGCAAAAGATAACTGGAGGCCTTTTTGCTATCCTAAAATATCTGGGTGCTCTTTCCTTTCTTCATTGATTTAGCTTTGCATGAGTTGATTGAACGTAAATAAAACTGGATTCATACCTAGATGTCAAATACTGGAAAAAACTTTGCCATTGACCAACCTCTTATATAAAAGCTTGTTTTCCCAGAAACTCTATATGTCTGAATTTTCCTATTTGAATAAATACTCAATTTAAAAATTGAACTATTTCAAAAGAGATTAGGCTGGTGCTTGGAATGGTGAAGCATAATTGACACTGATCATTTTTTTCAGTGCTAGTTGTCCTTGGCTTCATTGGAGAAATGTATTTCCATTCCTAACACTCCTCATTATGTATCTGCCATGTCTCCTTCCTTCCTCATTAAATGCAAATACACCAAAGAAAATCACCCTAATGAGACTCTCATTCAGATGGAAAAATCTGTGATGGCTTTGTCCTTTCACTTCCATGCAGACACATTTCTAAGTTTCTCAAAATCCTACATAACAATTGCCTAATACTCACATATTTTAGTACAAATTTCCCTATTAAGAAACATAAAATATCTGCAGCCAGGGCTCTGATAAAGAGTACCAACTATCTTTTTAGAAAAGAAAAAAGAAAAGAAAAGAAGAAACTCAACTTTTTTGTGGTGCTTTATTTTTAAACCATCTATATATATAAAAGCCTAAGCAACCATCCGACCGTGCGACCGTCTGACCAATAGCTATGATGCGCAATGACCACCAGGGGGACAGATGCTCCAACTGGTAGCTATGACACACACTGATCACCAAGGGGCAGACACTCAACGCAAGAGCTGCCGAGCTGCAGTGACTTGGCAGCTGCGGTTCTCGGGTGATGCACCTGGAACCACAGAGGAGGAAGCCCAAATTCCAGGGTGCATCACCTGAGAACTGCCCTCTCGCAATCTGGGACCCCTCAGAGGATGTCGGAGAGCTGGTTTTGGCCTGATCTCCACAGGCCAGGCCAAGGGACCACACTGGTGCATGAATCCGTGCACCTGGCCTCTAGTATCTTATAAAAACATAATGTTGTATAAACAGGACTCTGCTAGCAATATAAAAACCTGGGTTCTGGGTTCAGCTTCCCCACTTTCTGGATGTGAATCAGAGTTTTAAAACAGGATTTGATTTCATCAGACATGGTAAGATGACAGACACAGGGACAATTGCCTGGAAAGAAGAGTTTATTGCTCAGAGTTCCCAAGAGAAGGGGTCATGCCATACCATATAGGTCCTTATGGGGAAGCACCAGGGCTGGACAGGAGACAGGAAGAGCTGAGGGAAAGCATGGGCCAGAGACTTACTGTGTTTTTCATGAGAAGGAACGGGCAAGATGAGTAGGAAAGCTAAGCAAGTTTCAACAGGTTCTAGGCTATAGGTATGGTCCTCAGTTATCTGGTAACTGGTCCTAGGATGATTTAGGGCAGAGGAATAGTATCCCAACATGTTGGAGACTGATAAAAAGAGAGAAATCAGGAATATGGACTCAAGACTGTTTGGTTTGCATATCAAAAGCATGCTAAAGCAGGCTGTTCACTACCTCTAGAAATCAGTAAACCCTGGGAAAGGCAGTCTCTCTCCAAGTCTAGAAGGCCCCAAGATATCAAAGCATCATAAAATATAGAAAATTAAAAAATAATAAATACAATCAGTGAAAAATACTTAACATCTCTAAACCTCAGTCGCCTCAAAGTTATAAAAATGGGGAAAATAATGCCAGCATCTTCTACTAAACTATTCTCCAACACACCACTGAAGAAGTAGAAAAATTTATTTTTGAGGTTGAAATGTTAAGGTTTTTTTTTTTACATATTTTTATTGATTTCAGAGAGGAAGGAAGAGGGAGAGAGAGATACAAACATCAATGATGAGAGACAATCATTGATTGGCTGCCTCCTGAACATGCCTCCTATACCAGGCACCGAGCCTGCAACCCAGGCATGTGCCCTTTACCAGAATCAAACCCAGGACCCTTCAGTCTGCAGGCCAATGCTCTATCCACTGAGCCAAACCAGCTAGGGCTGAAATGTTAAGTTTTGAAGGAGATATATCTAGAGCCACAGGTAGAGGGAGAATATGGTAACTAAAACCAAATCAGCTGGAAGGTAGGCTGTTTTAAGAAGAAATCCTTAATGCCCTGAAGGCAAAGGAACACTGTGGTTTGATGGTCTGTGACCATGACAGTGTCAGGTCACTCCAACAGTTCATCCCAGCCCTGACACTGTTCACCTACAATGCTGGGGTGTCATGGTACTCCTAAGTGATAGCAGAATTTTGCAATGGGATAAATTACCTTACTTCTGAAGATTAGGAAGAGGATCAAGAGTGAAATAGATTACTGCCTCCCATGAATGCTTTTGCCAATTTTACACATAATAAATTCATTTGATTCTTTAATTAGTTTAGTATTTTTTAGGTTTCTTTATTGTTGTCCTTCTTTTCTACAGAGTACAAAACCAGAGATTGCATTCCTAAACTTGTAACTGACTACCTGCAAAAAAAAATCAACATAGATCCCCTTATAACGCATACATTCCATTTTGAAAGAATAAACAATGCATTTGAAGTGCTCCAGGATGAAAATGAAAATTGGTGAGTCTGTGCGCGTGTGCGCACGTGTGTGTGTGTGTGTGTGTGTGTGTGTGTGTGTGTGTGTGTGTGTGTTGTGTGTCTGTGTAAGATGTATCTGTATGAGATATCTTATACATGTAACACATCCAAAATTTTATGAAAAATGAGGTCTCAGATCAAGTATAAAAAAGGGGGGGCATGGAAAACGGTTTAGAAAATGGCAATGAAAGAGTGCTAAGTCAGTGTGAAGAGCGCTAAACATTTTACTCAGTCACTGTGTGATCTAAACGGCTACCTTGCCCATGATATTGTCCTTATCTAAAAATGGGGATAATGATACCTCTTCTTGTTATTGGACGGGCTCTGCACCTGGGTGGGTCTGCCTAGGGCCACCTGAAGTGTGTGGGTTCTTGACTTCGTGCAGGAAACATTTCACAAGTCGAGTCCAGGTGGCTTTTGAGAGTATGTTTAATAAATCTGGGACAATGAAATGAAAGAAGGGTTTGATGTAGAAGAAGTAACAGGAGACAGCTGAGTGACAGAAGTGAGCTCACTGGGAAGTCAGAGACAAAGAGGGCCCTGGAGACAGATTCAGAGAGTAAGCCTGGGGCAAACTGCCACTGCTCACTGCTCCCCTGGCTACAAGACTCATAGGGTCCTTTGGAGTTTAGGAGATGCATGCCTGTGAAGGAAGAAGTTGGGGAAGGGAAAAATGTGAGTAGGCGTGCTCCCGGGAGGGAGAGCACACCCTAGATCCCTTGTCTTGAGGCTTTTTAAAAAATCTTTCCTTGGCTGGCTGGAATCTTAGGGGAGGTCTCAACAGAGGGTCTTAACAGAATATTCATTAGCTTTTTAGGTGTGTCCTTCAATATGTTCATTCATTAAAATGTGTGTATAAAGGGGCCAGGATTATTTCCTGGTTTGGTTTTATTTTTAAAGAATATTATTGAAGAGGGACTGGGCTGAAGCAGGTCTGTCCCAGGACAGTCTGTACTACATAAACCATTTGCCCCAAAGTGTCCTTGGTGAGGGAAGATAAAACCTTGTGATTTATTAGCTGGCTGTAGACTGCTCAAGTGGTTTGGCCTTGTGTAATTATTTTGTCTCAGTTTCCCTTTATTCCACTTGTCAAGGAATTCCCCTAGCTTCTTACTATCCTGCCTCATTCCCCTCTTAGATACTTCTATCCCTGAAATCTTTTCAGATTGATGAGGGAGGACAGTCCACTTTCAGTAAATGCTTCCTGCTGACAAGGGTCATAGTCCCTGTGTATGTAAGGTGAGAATGTCTCTCCCTGCCTGACCTAGGGGGGGCAAGGGAATGGAATCTGGGACCGACCGGAACAGAGAGGCCATTAGCTAATCCTTCTAAAGGAGGGATAAGCTGGACTTCCTGAAGTGTCATCATCCTAGAGGTGACAAATTTGACAAGAAGGTTAGTGGAGTGGGGGACAATTCTTTGAAAGCCCAGTCACCACCATATCTGTATCAGGTTTTTGGTTTTTTGAAGAGGAGCTTGAAGTTCTCAATGGGTTCAAAAGAGTAGATCTCAGGTTATGGTTCCTGTGGGGATTCACAAGAAACAGGTTTAATTTGAGATAAGTGAACCCAACTGGCTATCCCTGTGAGCTTTATTGCAGTTGGGTTGCTTAGTAGAACCTGATATGGACCTTAGCACCTGGATTAGCATTAAGTACAATGCCTGAAATATGTGAGTTGCTCAGTAAAAATTTGTGTTTAAATGAGTGAATTAATGAGTCAAGGTCCCTAACACAAATGCATTTAGAACTGCATGTATCTAGGGTACCTGCCAATATACAATGTAAATGTACATTATTCTTCATGATAGAGCCCTGTTTCACAGCTATTAAAAGTGAGGGTATAACATCATAGGAGATGAGGAACAAAACTAAGAAGCTAATGTTTAAAGTGATGGCCCTCACGTAGCCATTCACAACTGAAAAGTAGAGAGAGGGGGCTATGGTAATTCTTCTGTCCCCACCAGACAAGCTCATGGCCAGCTGAAGGGTGATTAAAAGTCACAGAATGAAATGCACGCTGTAACTGTGGATTCTCATGAGATGTCTTCTCAAGGGAGCATAATTCTCTCTTGCCTTATCATCTTTGCCTCTTATTACTAAAAATCAAATACCATGTTTAGTGACTACACACTAAACTTGATTCAGAAACATTTTCTGGTGCCTTGAGGGGAGATTAATACAGAGATAACAAATGGGGGTTGGTAAATAAGTTTGTCTCTTAAAATGCTCACGCTACAATTATTTTGTGCTGCCCACATTTATGCAGGCAAGTCAGTCATTTCAATGTTTGAATTTCTGCGTTTCAGTATCCGCTGTGTCCTCTTGTTTTGAGATTCCCAGATGATAAAATGGAAGGCAGCTATGCTCACCACTATACCACCAACGCGAGATGATAAAATGGAGCGTGAACATCCTCAGCAATGCTATTTGCTTCCTTTTTCACTACCTTGATGACTCCATTGCAATATATAGAACCCAAAATTGGAAAGAGAGCACTTCTGGAATTTTAAGAAATAAAACTGTTATAATAAACTATTTTGAAACTGGTGTTTGCATTTCAGCCAAAAGCTTAAAGAGAAAAAACAAGGATATGTTAGTGATGGAATGCATCTTCTGCCCATCCTAACGATTTCACTTTAAATGTATTATGTGATGGATATGCTTCATTAGACAGCTTGCATATTTTGAAAACTGATTTAAAGCATGAACCCTTCTCCACCACTTTATGTGTTGCTGAGTTGGCCTGTTATGAAAAGCACATCTACCAATAGTCTGCCTTCTTGGGCAAATAGTGGGAAGAGGGGTGACTAATTCTTTGAATCTGAGCTTGACATACGTTGGGCATTGTTTTTCTAGTTGGAGATGAGGGGGCTGTTAACAGTGGTTCAAAAATGGTAAAACTCCTTGACACTCAGTCTTACCTGCCTTTCTCAAACAAAAATGATATACGAACAAATAAAACAGAAACAGACTCCTAAGTGCAGAGAACAAACTGAGGGTTGCCAGACAGGAGCAGAGTAGGAGGACTGGTGAAAAGGGGGAAGGAATTAAGTACAAATTGGTAGGTACAAAATAGTCATAGGAATCTTTTCTATTTCTTCTCAATATGTTGTTCTCATGTGGAGGGCCTACAGTTTGGGGGTGCAACTAAGCCTTTTCCATTCCCTTTCTCTGCTCCATTTCCCCAGCCCATGACTGAATAGAGAAATCTGGTCATTGATTAGCAACATGATTTGGTCCCAAACTGGCTGCAGTTTGGGTGTGCCAATTCCATCAACCAAAAACCATGGAATAAAGAAACAGTGGTTGGCAGGATTCGGGTAAAAAATCACCATTCAATATCTTTAACAATAGTATAGTTACAAGGATAATGAAGAGGTGGTTGTTTGGCTCTGCCTTTGGCTAGAGACTAGATTATATGAAAAGCATTCTAGGGAACCCCTAGAAATGTAAATAATATGCAACAAACATCCTTTTAAGCATATGTCTGAGCTAACAAGAAAGTAGGGAAAACTCCAGGGGAGCAGGAAAACCAAATGAGAAATGAGCAGCAAAGTTACATCTGACCTGATGATTTTTGCTGATCCAATAAACTGTGGGTTGGGTATTAAAGGCAAAGCAAGAAATATGCAGCTTGGACCTGGTACAAGGTGGGGAGCTGGAATGAAGACTCATGCATACCCCACATCTTCCAAGAGCTGCAACTTCAAGTAAATCAGAGGGACTAGTAAATGTTCCACCCACCAGGAAAAAAAGACTATAATGTCTTTTCGCAGCCTTGGAGAGGGAAAAAATTCTTATTGTGTTTTGTGAAAACAGATGTGCTCGCAGATGAATTAAATTTGAATTTATTTTGACTGCCAGGAAATTTTACTGTGATAGTTCTAAGTACGTCACATTCTAGGTCTCTGGAATAAACATATTTTTTCAGTTTGTGAATCAGAAGCTCAATCAATTTAAGATAAGCCAGAAAAGGACAATTTTTTTAATGGAGTAGAAAAAGCAGGATAAAGAAAGAAAAATAAAACTCACTATGATAAAAATAATTCTAAAAATATTAGCAATCAAAATACTGTAGACAGATTAAACTCACTAGTACAAAAAAAAAGAACTGCAAAAAAATATTAAACTTTAGTCAGAAGATTTATTGTTAGTAGTAACATCCTATAAAATAAAACCCTAATATGCAAATCAACCTAATGGCGGAACAACCGGTCGCTATGATGTTCACTGACCACCAGGGGGCAGACGCTCAATGCAGGAGCTGCCCCCTGGTGGTCAGTGCGCTCCCACAGGGGAAGCGCTGCTCATCCAGAAGCCGGGCTCATGGCTGGCAAGCTCAGTGGCCGTGGCGGGAGCCTCTCCCGCCTCTGCAGCAGTGCTAAGGACTCCTTGGGGGATGTTCTCCTGCTGGCTTTGGGGAGCGGGCCTAAGCTGGCAGGCAGACATCCCCCAAGGGATCCTGGACTGCAAGAGGGCGCAGGCCGGGCTGAGGCACCCCCCCCCACCCCCCAGTGCACGAATGTCGTGCACCGGGCCTCTAGTAGTTAAAATATTAGAAGATACTATTAAGTAAATGTATTACATTTATTATGAAACAGGAGTTCTACCATGAATGAGATACAAGTACAAAGGGAGCCCGATTGCTGGAACAGGAATGATTGAAGACAAGCAAAACCATATCAAAGAAACACAGCAGCCAGCAGGATGTGGTTCCCACTGGCCAAATTTAGGACAATTCAGGCATCCAAAGTAATAAGAGTAATGTCTTTCACTGATTACAACACATTGAATTTTTTTTAATGATTTTATAGAGGACTTCTACTTCTGGGAAGATGGAGTAGACATATTCCCTAATCCTTCCACTAAATGTAATAAAGCCCCTGGACATTTTACATAGAACAAACACAAGAAAATTCTTAAAGGTGTAGAGAAGGCAGAAAGACTAGAGACTTGGAGGTCAAGGAAGGGTATGGGTGTGTGTTCCCTGGTCTTCTTTAAGCCTCATATATCCCAGAGTTGGAGTGAAGAGACCAGAAACCTTGAAATAGCAACATGCACAGACAAAAAGAAGGCCCAGCAAAAAGCCTGTTCTCTAGACAAAGAACTGAGAAAGGGCAGCCTAGCAAGGCAGAAAGCTTTTAGGTAATAACTGCTCTACTCCCTCCAAACATCAAAGGTAAAAACAACAACAACAACAACATGACCCCTCCTGTACCCATGGAGCAAAGACTAAGTAAGGCGCTTATACTTTCACCCTCCCCAGACGGTAAAAAGGCACCAAACCCTACCCACTACCCACTCACTAGGATGCGATCAGAAAAGACAGATAGTCTGGGAATTTCAACCACATCCAGGAGTAATAGGCAACCACCTCAAAGTGTCCGCGGGGAGCCTGGACTTTTATGCACACGCAGCAATAAAGAGGTGATCCCTCCCACTCCTTCCTGAGATGGTGTTAGAGAAGGCTGGTGGTGTCCTTGAGGCCATATGCTAACGAGGCACTTTCCAACCAAGAGGTGTCAGAGGAGGCCTGGGGGAGAGCTGCAATGCTCATCTCCACCCAGAGATAAGACGGAGCAGTCTCCTCGTGGGGAGTTAATGAAGGCTGAGTGGGAGCCTGATTCATAGCCCCACCTGAGTGTAAAAGACCGACCTGACAATGATGAGGCGGCCTCCCCTTCCTCTGCCAGAGCCAGCTAGCTTGTCAGAGAGGTCTTCGGAAAGAGAGTCAGCTAAGTGGGGCTTCTCAGACTCAAAACAAATATCAAACTTGGACTTCAAAACTATCCCTTCAAAGAAGTCCAGATTGAATTAGCTCAGTCTATGGAGCAATTTAGGCCCTAGGGCATTGGCGAAAGAATAAAGCAATCATCTAGCAACTCCTAGAGCTCATGGGATGGGCATGGTCAGGGAAACAGCCAGATGGAGCCATACCAAAACCACTGTCATCCCAGGGTGATGAGGAGTTCTCCAAGGCTGTGCCCTCTGAGGAGCAACATCAGAGACTTCACACAGGGGAGGGGAATTAGACTCTCACCGTGGTCGGCAAACTGCGGCTCGCGAGCCACATGCGGCTCTTTGGCCCCTTGAATGTGGCTCTTCCTAAGCCTTAGGAGTACCCTAATTAAGTTAATAACAATGTACCTACCTATATAGTTTAAGTTTAAAAAATTTGGCTCTCAAAAGAAATTTCAATCATTGTACTGTTGATATTTGGCTCTGTTGACTAATGAGTTTGCCGACCACTGTAGAGTATTCCAGCTAGTTACTAAAAATTAAACAAAGGCAACCCAGGTGTGGGATTTTTAATTCTCTATACTATATAAAAAGTAAAAAGGAGCCCAGCTGGTGTGCGTCAGTGGTTGACCTCTGAACCAAGAGGTCACAGTTCACTTCCCAGTCAGGCACATGCCCAAGTTGTGGGCTCGATTCCCAATTGGGGGCATGTAGGAGGCAGCCAATCAATGCTTCTCTCTCATCATTGATGTTTCTATCTCTCTCTCACTCTCCCTTCTTCTCTGAAATCAATAAAAAAATATATTTTTAAAAGTAAAAAGCAATAGATGAAATCAATTTTAATATTGTTTTATCAAACCAGACATATACAAAAATGTTATCAATTCAACACATAATTTAAAAATTTTAAGTATTGATTATTTTAATTACACTTACAGCACATCTTAATGTGGACTAGCCGTAGTCACGTCTTCAATAGCCACACGTGGCTAGTGGCTACCACATGGACAGTACACTTCTATAGTTTCTGTATTCTCAACATGCATTTTTTGAAATTACAAATAAAATGCATTCTTATATTCTTTTCATAACTAAAAAATTAATAAGAAGAATGTAAATTGAAAAGCAAAATGGTGTATGCTGTTCAATCTGAAAATCAATTTTTTTGAAAACTGTCTTATATTCATTGAGAAAAGTTTAGGAAGGCCAGAGGTGCCTGGATAGTGAAAATGAGCACTATTACCTCTTTTTCTGAAAGGCCAGTGGGCTGCCTTGTCTTGTGTGACCTTTCCCCTCAGGGAAGTGTTAACGTAGTGACAGTGAGCAGAGGATCCCTGCTCTGCATAAAGGCTTCCGCCCAAATGACAGGCTGCTAAAAGCCAGACTCCACCAAAGTCTTTTTTTAATGAGATATTATTGACATACTAGTGGCCCGGTGCACGAAATTCGTGCACGGGGGAGGGTATGTTCCTCAGCCTGGCCTGCACCCTTTCCAATTTGGGACCCCTCGAAGGATGTCCTACTGCCAGTTTACAGGGATTGGGCCTAAACCAGCAGTCGGACATCCCTTTCGCAATCCAGGACTGCTGGCTCCTAACCACTCACCTGCCTGCCTGCCTGCCTGATTGCCTGATTGCCTCTAACCCCTCTGCCTGCCGGTCTGCTTGCTCCCAACTGCCCCCCCTGCTGCCGGCCTGCTTGCCCCCAAATGCCCCCCTGCCAGCCTGATCACCCCAAACTGCACCGCCT